AGGGGGGGGGGGGGGGGGGGGGGACAGATTTAGTCTCCCTTTTATACAACAAGCAACAGGATTAGCATTTGGCTAGATAATTGTCCCCAAACTCAGGGCCACATTAAAAATGTGCAGCTGAATCCTGTGAATATTTGGGTTAGCCTGAATTTATAGCAAGGGGGATTTTAACAATAACAAGCCACCCACCCATTTCCCCAAAGATTTTTAAAATCCATTTCTCCCCTAATGGAGGGGTATTTTTAATCTGAAACAAACTGATTAAAAATAACCACTGCTAGGGAGAAAAAGAAATGGCAGGGGGGGGGGAACCACTTTGAGATGTAAAATAAAGATGAGATTTCCATCCTCATCTTTACTCATGCTGTACTTTAACTTAATGGTTCTTGGCCTTTCATGTTTTATGCCCCATAAAGACACTATCCAGTAACCTGTATTCTGCTATGACAGAAATAAAAAACCCATATTTTTCAACAGATTATAAATCTACAAGCACTATGGTTGTTCTTTTTTTAAAAAAAACAATTTTAAAAATTATTTCCTCCTCTCTTACCTTTCCAATTAATTTTGAAAATGGTTTTCCGTTTTAGAAGAGGCCATGCAGTCATGCTCCCCTACTGGAAAAACAACAACAATGAATCAAACCCTTTCCACTACAACCGTGGTGGTGAACCTATGGCACGGGTGCCACAGGTGGCACACAGAGCCCTTTCTGTTGGTACGCACACCATCGCCCCAGTGCTAGGGCTTCAGCTGGGTTTTATAAAACCTTTTCGCTTTAGGCCTCTGCCGCCATGTGCAAAAAAAAAAAAAAAGATTCAATCACTCAATCAATTTCAACTTCTCGCAGGAAAAAAAAAGATCTCGCAAAGTTGGAATTGATTGATTGAACTTTTTAGTCCCACCCAGTCTGCCCTTACAACTGCAGCCACGCCCACCCAATGGGTCATACCCACCCAATGGGCTACACCCACCCAATGGGCCATGCCCACCCGGCACCCAACAATACATAAGTGGGTTTTGGGTTGCAGTTTAGGCACTCGGTCTCTAAAAGGTTTGCCATCACTGCACTACAACAATAAACCATCTATCCACCATCTATCTCCCAAGCTTTCCTCTAGCTTCTGACTTTTATTGCAATGTAAGAGATAGGTGAAAAGATGCAGGGCAGCTCAGCAGTTCCAGGCAGAAAGTAAAAGATTGAAAGTATGAATCAATGTGTTCATAGCGTATGGTCAAAAAAAGTCAAGATGGCAGCCATGATGTGTGACTGAATCTCTGCTAGTTTTTATATGTGTTGCATATATAATGTCCACAAAACTGTGCAGAGCTTCAATCACACTGTCACAGCTGCATTTTGACATATTTTATTTGCCAACCTGTCCCTCTTTGTGATGTTTACATTCCTAGAGACTGTTGAATGAAAAATGATTTATTCAGTAGTTAATGAAACTGTTTATTTGTGCATTCTAAAAATGGATGATCCTTGACGTTATTATAAAACCTTATTAATGGTTTTTTTTACTTTCCATGATGCTCTGAGCTTGTTAGGCTGCACTAATTCAGCTCTCTAAATCTAGTTCTGTCCACTAAGTTATAAAGCCATTAATCCTCTAACAAGGGAAATTACCTAACACAGCAGTAAAACCTTATGGGGTAAATAGAACAAGATAACCGGGTTTTGTTTGGGTGTTTTCTGTTTAGAGAAAAGACACCTTTCGTCAGCCACCCTTCACAGGAAAAGGTTGTTGTTGTTGTTGTTAAATAACAATGTTAAAGAATACAGATCTTCTTTTTACTGAAGCAGCTCAGTTTTAATAGCATAACAATCTAAATGCAGATTATAGTGTAGGTCACTGTTTCTCAAACTCAGCAACTGTGAACTTCAACTTCCAGAATCTTCCCAATTCTGAGAGTTGAAGTCTACACATCATTAAGTTGCTGAGATTGAGAAACACTGGTCTACACTATATTGTAAGACCACTATACACTGGTCTATAGTACACTATACTGTAATACAGTACATGATACATTTCCAAGTGAAATCAATCTATGGAGTCAAGAAGTCCCCAATCCCTTCTCATAGCCTGCAGAACCTACTCCAAATGGGTACTGACTGCAACACTTTGAAATTGGTGGTCTGATTCCCCAACTCCTTGAGACGGGAAAATAAAAAACTACAG